ATTTCAGTTCTTGCATTGGTTTGTTTGGAATATTAAATAAAATGAAAGTGTGTTTCTCGTTAGTGACTGATGTCTGCTCTGAGTTTAACATGCACGTGTTTGCTCGCAGGCATTCATTTTGTAATAACTCTCACTCTCTCACACACACACACACACACACACACACACACACACACACACACACACACACACACACACACACACACACACACACACGTCCTTGGGTTCAGCAGGGAGGCGAGCCAGCACTTAGTATCCTCAGACAGATCATAATAATGTAGCTGTTACACAACACTGTCTGTGTGTCTCTCTGTCTGTCTGTGTGTCTGTGTGTGTGTGTGTGTGTGTGTGTGTCTGTGTGTGTGTGTGTGTGTGTGTGTGTGTGTGTGTGTGTCTCTCTCTGTCTGTGTGTCTCATACCATTCATTATTCTAGAAGCAAACAAACAGAAATAAATGTGAACTACACTTCTCCCTACAGAACTCATCTCTCAAAATAGAACAAACTTCCCGAAAACCTGAGGTCTTCACCAACGCTGAGTTATTTTAAATCGAGGCTAAAAACATGACTTTTTTCAGCCGCCTACCTAGAAGTATTTTAACTTGTTATAGCGCCTACCGTATTTAACTTTGAATTGCCTCTGTGTCTGAAAATGTGCTTTATAAACATACCTTACCTCATGTCGTGTTTCCCAGGTGCTTCTGGGACGTGGTGCTGTCGTTCCCTCTGGAGCTGCAGAAGAAGATGCTCCACTTCGCCACAGGAAGTGACCGCGTGCCCGTCGGAGGAATGGCCGACCTCAACTTCAAAATCTCCAAGATCGACGTTCCCACTGACTGGTAGGTTTCATCCCTGAGAGGAGGACTGTTCAAAAGTGCTTTAAAATAACTGGAAATATACACATCTAAACGTGTTGTAGAATTCCAATACCAAATGTTCACATTGATGCAGAAAACATTCCCAAAAACAATTGTTTCGCTTACTACCTTTAACTTACTTACAGTTCTTACTTCCTAACTAACTTCCTAACTAACTACTTAACTCCCTAACCAACAAACTAACTACTTAACTCCCTAACCAACAAACTAACTACTTAACTCCCTAAGTAACTAACTAACTACTTAACTCCCTAAGTAACTAACTAACTACGGAAACTACTTAACTAACTAACTAACTAACTAACTACTTAACTCCCTAAGTAACTAACTAACTACGGAAACTACTTAACTAACTAACTAACTACTTAACTCCCTAAGTAACTAACTAACTACGGAAACTACTTAACTCACTAACTAACAAACTAACTACTTAACTCCCTAAGTAACTAACTAACTACGGAAACTACTTAACTCACTCACTAACTAACTAACTAACTACTTAACTCCCTAAGTAACTAACTAACTACGGAAACTACTTAACTCACTAACTAACAAACTAACTACTTAACTCCCTAAGTAACTAACTAACTACGGAAACTACTTAACTCACTCACTAACTAACAAACTAACTACTTAACTCCCTAAGTAACTAACTAACTACGGAAACTACTTAACTCACTCACTAACTAACTAACTAACTACTTAACTCCCTAAGTAACTAACTAACTACGGAAACTACTTAACTCACTAACTAACAAACTAACTACTTAACTCCCTAAGTAACTAACTAACTATGGAAACTACTTAACTCACTCACTAACTAACTAACTACTTAACTCCCTAAGTAACTAACTAACTACTGAAACTACTTAACTCACTAACTAACAAACTAACTACTTAACTCCCTAAGTAACTAACTAACTACGGAAACTACTTAACTCACTCACTAACTAACTAACTACTTAACTCCCTAAGTAACTAACTAACTACGGAAACTACTTAACTCACTAACTAACTTAGAGAACTAACTTAGAGTAAGTACTAACTTCCTAATATACAGTGCGTATTACTTACATACTTACTGACTTGTTTGTAACCTACTCACTACCTTATTAATTTACTTACAGTACTTACTTCCTAACTTGCTAACTAACTATCTATCTAACTAACTAGCTAACCACTTAACTGCCTAACTAACCAACTAACAATGGTAACTACTTCACTCACTAACTTACTAAGGGAACTTCTTACAATAAGTACTAACTTCCCAAGTACTGTACTTATTACTTACACAGGCCTACTAACGTTTGTGTTACTAAACTACTCTGTAACTTACTTACATGCTTACTTACTAATTTACTTACTTACTTGTATACAGTACGTACTTACTTCCTAAATTACCTTCTAACTTGTTTACTAACTCTCTACTTACTTACTTCCTTACCCACCAACTAACTTAATGACATACTAAGTAAACTTGCTAACTTACTAACTTGAGGTTTTTACCAGTTGTTTATATATTACTGTTAAACTTTGACTGGTGAATGTTTGAAGACATATTGACGTTGATATTATTTGATTTTAAAACCACTGTTCTCCCCCCCCCCCCCCCCCCCCCCAGGCTGCCGATCTCACACACGTGTTTCAATCAGATCTGCCTCCCTCCGTACAGAAACAGGAAGGAGCTCAAACACAAACTGACCATCGCCATCTCCAACGCTGAGGGCTTCGGCCTGGAGTGATACACACACACACGCACACACACGCACACGCACACACACACGCACACACACACACGCGCACACACACGTGAGGTGGATCCGATTGTGGAGTTTTACAATGCGTGCTTCTTATTGTCGGACATTATTATGGGCTGTAATGCAGTGTGTGTGTGTGTGTGTGTTTGTGTGTGTTTTATGTGTCCGTGTTGCAGCAGATAAGGTGGTAACTTCCCGCTGCAACATCTACACACACACCAAAATGTATTTTATTTGCACATGGACCATATTACAAAACAACACTGACGTTGTAGGTTTAAAAAGATGTCACTCTTTCTTTCAGCCTTGCAGAAACTCTACATTAAAAAAAATATTTAATATTTCTGTTCCCAGACCAAGTGTGTGTGTCAACAGCCTTTTAAATGATACTAGGTCGCTAGTTTGCTAAGGTAAATATTATTATTACTATTATTTTAATTGATAATAACAGTATTTTTATTTTTGTATTAATATGTTTTAAAAAGTACATTTTTATTTTTTATGAATAATAATTTGTATTTTGACTATTTTCAATTATTAATTTTGATCAATAATAATTAATATCAATTTTATTTTTAAACGAATAACAATAATATTTATAATAAAGAGTCACTCTGCATCAAGGTGTGAGGTAAAGAAATCAAAATACAGACGTAAATATTGTTACTAAAACACATGAATATATTTCTGGATTTGAGTTGTAATATTTCCTGTTTCCTGCTTTAGCGATGCTGTAAATACGTGTATGAAGGCACGGCGTTTTGTATCAGTTACGGCCCGTCCACACTACGGCTTCAAAAAAAGCTTGGAGCTGGGCGTGTCTGAAGCTCGACCAACAACCAATCACATGAATCTCCCGCCCCTGACACACAAGCAGCGGTTTGATTGGCTAGAGCTTGTACTGGCATATGATTCGATTGGCTGACGCTTCCACCGAAAGCTTCAGAAGCTTCAAAAGTTGAACATTGCTCAACTTTTGCAGCCTGAAACGCCAGGAAAGCTCCGCTCTGCTTCCCACAATGCAGTTCGGCGAAAAGTGATGTCACCCCATTCAAAGTGAATGGGCAGACACGTTGGAAACCGTTTTTGAAGCTGTCGAAGCTGTAGTGTGGACGGCCGTTATATTGTTGTGTGCAGCTCACTGTCAGGATATCAAGCTTTGCTGGGAGGATCATGAGATGCCTTACGTTGTTGTATTGTTTTTGTTGACATTGCTGCCTGTTTAAGTAAACAAAAGGCCGCAGCAGAACGTTTTCATTGTGTTTTAAATGTTATGATGTTCAACCCGAGAGGCTGACTGACGGTTTGGTGTTTGTTCTGGTAATGTTGTTGTTGTGTTGTATCATGGCTGTCGTCGTTATTGACAAGTCGTTGTTTCAGATGTGGCGCAGGGATGAGTCCTAAAACCCAGACATTACTTAGCATGTTTGCACTTCCTGTCCAAACGTCGGTTGCTAACAAGTGTCTATTGATTTGATGAGACGATTAAACGTCATCACCCCCAACATTAGCCACCTTTAGCTTAGCGGTGGTGACGTGAAGTCATGTGACCGTGCTGTAGTTCCTTTATAGCACAACGTTAGCCACCTTTAGCTTAGCGGTGGTGACGTGAAGTCATGTGACCGTGCTGTAGTTCCTTTATAGCCCAACATTAGCCACCTTTAGCTTAGCGGTGGTGACGTGAAGTCATGTGACCATGCTGCTTACACATCATTGGACTTAAAATCAACAAATGTATCTTTTAGGATCGGCTCCTATTTGTGTAATCTCAATGCATTGATTAGATTCCACTTTATTGTTATTACACGTAGTACAACACGATGTAATGTGCTCCCAGACAGAAAATGCAAAGAGTGGATAAAGTGCATGACTTTCTGCCTCTAGTGAAGCTTTCTTTAACTTGTCCTGACTTCTCTGTCACACTCACAGCAGTTTTAAACGCTCTGCAGCGTCCTATAGGGTTGCCATGACGACTGGCAAGCTTTCCAGACCAAACTGGCACAACACGGACATTACCGAGCAACGCAGAAGCATGTCAGCCTGATCTGGGTCACTCAATGACCAGCTGCTTATTCAACAATGGGTCCTTTCTGAAACCCAAGGGCGAGTCCAGATAAAAACAGCAAGCAGCTCGTCTGATGCCACGTTCAAATCCCGTCTGTAAAAACCAACTCTGAAAATACATGTTATGGCATGGGAAACATGGGACATTTTTCATTGATTCGATTTATTTCGAACGTGTAAAACAACATATATGAAATGAAACGAGAGAATCATGACACTGCACACACTTAAGCAGTTATCAAATTATAAACAAAAATGTTATTAACTTACAAATGATATATAAACAATTGATCTACGTAATTACACATCCGAAAAGGGGTTGGAAGAAGTCTACACTTATGTAATCCCACCCCTTCTCCCAGATTCAAATGATTCACTTCTTTTCAGTGTGATAAGGTGAACGTGTTTTGCAAAGTGTTCATGGGACCAAACTGTGTCGGGTTATACAGTGGGAAGGGAGTGAAGAATCGGTTTGAAAATAGTTCGGACTGGTTCGTCGAGATGTAATTATGTTCACTTTGTTGGATGTTTGAAATGTGCAGACAGCATTTAGAAGTAGAGAGCGGTCATGTGTTGATGATGTGTGTTTTTCTATTATTATTTAACAAATATAAATCAGTGTCTGTTTAGTGTTGTGTATTTCTTCTGGGTTTTACCGTGAGTTTAAAGAGTTTGTGATGCATTTTAGTGAGCGATCGTTCTGTGCCTCCTTTCTCCGGATGGTCTTTGTCTCTGCAGCTGATTGGACGACACCTGTTTTCAATTCAGCTGATAAGCCATGATTAGTAAAGGCTCACCTGCCTGGGTGAAGCCTCACGGTTTGTATCAGAGGCATGACACAACGGTTGCGTTCGGATAGTTTAAAAATCAGCTCCTAAGTTCTAACCCTATCTCCTATTCCTTGACCTCTGAGTGAAAGGTCACGGGGTTAAGGGATAGTGGATAGAAGAATTCAAAAGGACTTAGGAGAAGAGACTGCGGTACTTTAGAGAATCGAATGCACTTTCACTATCCGACGTGTTTCTGATGCGCCAGCGGACGTCCTGAATGAGCTGGAATTGAAATAAAAAAGGAAAGTGAAACTTCTGCTCGTCCCCCTCTCCCTCCGGTCCACATTAATACAAATGATCCCAATACGTATGATTGATGAAAAGATCTTAAAATCAATACAGATGTATTTATTATAAACGTTAGTCCTTAACATCTATCACTGTGTATATCACCATTCAAACATCTTTTAAAAGCTGAACAAACCCCACAGCTCAGTGAAGACTGTGAGATGTTGACTTTATTTGATCATTTCAGTAAAAACTAACGTTCATATTTCTCTCTTTGATTATAATACTGATGAACGTTCAAAACAAAGCACTTTGGCAACTTACCACATACGTTTTAAAATGCTTAATAAGCACCGTAACTTTCATGATATAATTTCTCCATCATAATCGTTTGTTTCCGTGAACGGCCGACTGTTGAGTGACGGCAAATGCTGCGGCTGCAAGGCATTGTGGGGCAGCATTTTCTCCTCTCCTTTCGGTGAGGGAGGTCCAGTGGTTTCTAAGCTAAAGGAGGTTATAAAGGAAGCTTGAAACCTAATTTCCTATCATTTTAGAGAATTGAAACGGCACTTATCATGGCTGCCACTGAGGGACTTCCGGGTCATTTCACTCCGTGAGGAAGGTTCCTAAGATAAATGGACTATTCGACTGCAGCCAATGCTTCTCATTTTGTGACATGCGCACTGAAGAGACTTACAATTATTTGCCCGATAATTCTGCTTTCAGTTAGGGTTAGTTCAGGAAGTCATTATCGATAATCCAATAATCCAATATCCAATAATAATCCAATGCAGAGGCAATAATGTAATATAATACATCATTTTATATGTATATTATATATTTAGATATGTATATTTATATAGTCTAAAAGTTACAACCGGCCCTTTGAGTGCAACCATAATGCTAATGTGGCCCGTGATGAAATTGACCCCTACAATAGGAGCTTTAGGAGACATTAACTCTCACATCCATTGGACGCAGTTCCAAATTGTAAAGCGTGTTATTTGTACGCAGACTGAAGAGAGTGGGTTGGGTACAGACCTTCAGAGATGAGTCCTAAAACCCAGAAAAGACTCCAGAAAAATAAGGTCATCACTCCCTGTTAACATAGTCTAAACCAGTGGTTCTCAAATGGGGGTATGCAGACCCCTAGGGGTACGTTGGAGTACTGCAGGGGGTACGTGAGATTGATTTTATGTTAATAAAGGCTGGTCAGTATAGGCATGTCCAGCCATGCAGTGGGTGGTTTGTAAACTACCTCTCTGAAAGGTCCCAATGTGTTCACTTTGATGAGCTGTCTTCTGAGTGGTTAAACATCACTAATGGTGTACCACAAGGTTCAGTTTTAGGTCCGCTATTATTCTCTATCTATATTAATAGTTTAGGTGAAAATGTCGAAGGAGCAACCTTACATTGTTATGCGGACGATACCGTTATGTACTGTGCAGGTCCCTCGATTAACGAGGCTGTTGTTAAATTACAGGCTGTTTTTAACATTATTCAGGCTCAGCTCTCTGAGCTAAAGCTTCTTTTAAATGTGGAGAAAACCAAGGTAATGCTCTTTTCTAAAGCTAAAGCTAAAAATACACCAGAGACTGCTTTGGATATTGTAACTACGCAAGAAATACAACTTGAAGTGGTTACCTGTTACAAATACTTGGGTATCTGACTTGATGATTGTCTCACTTTTAAACTTCATGTCAATAACCTGCTTAAAAAGCTGAGGGTTAGGCTAGGTTTCTTTTCCAGAAATAAGTCCTGTTTCTCGCTTGAGGCCAGGAAAAGGCTCTGTGACCTTTTTACCTGTGCTGGACTCTGGTGATTTGTTGTATATGAATGCACCTGCCAATTACCTGAGCAAGTTAGATGCTGCGTATCACACTGCACTGAGATTTTTGACTAATTGTAAAGCACTTACGCATCATTGTACCCTGTATACCAAGGCGGTGATGCCATCACTTACTGTACGGAGGCTCAGCCACTGGTACTTTTTCATTTACAAAGCCATGTTGGATAAACTACCATCTTATATCTGCTCCCTGATCTCTCTGCGAATTGAAAGTACTTATTGCCTGAGATCGCATGCTGTGGTTTTATTAAATGTGCCAAGTGCTAGGACTGTCTTAGGGAAGAAAGCTTTTAGATGTGCAGCTCCACTAACATGGAACAGTCTGCAAAAAGAATGGACAATTACCAAGCTAGTACCACTACATGTTTTTAAAGCTCGGTTGGATGCTACAAAATCAGATGCTGTTGGTACCTGTACTTGTGGTTAAATATGTAAATTGTAATCCCTGTACATTTTGCTGTATGATGTCCTTTTGTTGTTCTGTTGTTTATGTTTTTATGTCTTCTTGTGGAACCTACTGCTGCAGGTCTCCCTTGAAAAAGAGATCATTGATCTCAATGGGATTGTACCTGATAAATAAAGGTTTTGAATTGAATTGAATTGAATAATGAAAAAAACAACATAATTAATGCATTTAAACAAACTGCTAATAGTAGATGAACTACTTTATTCAAAGGTTTACAGAAACTCTGGATAATAACATGGGAAAAATAAACGGAGTGCTCTCTTCTCCTCTCCCTCTCCAGACAGCCCGTCAGTCTCGTGCAGCTCGCTGAACCTGTAATAAATGACCCGACAGTAAAGAATAAATATATGTATAACTAGTTTAGCTAGTTCCAGAGTAGATGAACTAGCTAAGTGTGTTAGGTCCAACTCTGAGTGTATTTAAGTTTGCTCGGCTCAACGGTCCGTCACAGCGGCGGAGCTGTGATCATGCAGAGCTGCGTGTTCTCCGTCAGCAGCAGCTGATCTGATCTCTGATCCAGGGTCGGCTCTAGAACAAATCGAATGGGGGGGCAATCATTTACCAAGGGGTGGCACACACTGCCGTCAACAACCAACACACAAACACCAACGCAACTTCAATTTTAAAAAACATGCTGTAAAGTCTATTGTCTTTCACACACATTGCAGGGTGTAGTGCTATTGTATAGTGCACCTATGACTTATGCATACGTGCACGGTTGTGGCACGACCACCAAAACAAAAACATATAAGGACAGAGGGTGTCGTTTTCTCATACTGATATTCTGCACAAACTGTGCTGTTGTATTTGCTATAAAGTGTCTTTACTGTAGGTTATTTTTTATTATATACAGCACTTTGGCTCGACCAAAAATCGTTGAAAATGTGCTATATAAATAAAACTTGATTTGATTTGATATGGACAGGGGCGGACTGGGGGGAAAAAGTGGCCCGGGGATTAATTGACAGACAGGCCCACTTAATGCGCGGCATGTATCGGCCGGCCGGCGACGAAAGTATGTTACTTAACAAAAAACCCTGCATTTAATGTTATTTTGGACAATTATTCATATAGTAATCACATTACCTGAGCCCTTGAGTTGCCTAGAGCAAAATAGTTACGGCATATATTTAGTGATTTTAATGTTAACAGATTATTGATGCAATAAGATTTGGACCCAATTTGCCTGATTGGCCACATGGAATAAAACAGATTAAGATTTTTTTTTAAATGTTGAAGTTAAATGCATCAATCTGGTCCATTTTGAGAGCAAAATTAGGGCCTAAATATATGGCAGTCAGTAGGGGCTTGGACTGTGAGCCGTAGGGTCGCCGGTTCAAGTCCCCGACCAGACCTATTTGGAGTGTGCACTTCTACTTGGAGAGGTCCCAGTTCACCTCCTGCCGTGGTGCCCTTGAGCAAGGCACCGGACACCCCCTTCCCCCCTCATTCCCATTGCTCCCCGGGTGCTGTACAATAGCTGCCCACTGCTCCTAGTGCTATGATGGGTTAAAAGCAGAGAACACATTTCACTGTGTGCTCTGCATGTGTGACCATTACAGAGGGTTTCATCCCTCCCAATTCTTCTTCTTCTTCTTCTTCACCCATATGAAACAGAACTGTAAACAGATTAACTTTTTCTTTCAACATTTATTTGAACAGCAAGTGGAGGCAAAAGTGACTGCACCCAAAACAATAAACTTGCTAGCTAACTAGCCTAAACTCAGTAACAGAATGTGGGCAACACGTTCTTCTCCACAGCCGCGCGACCTCTGAGTCAGACGTCACTTCCCCCTTTTCTATCCTACGGGTACAGCCGTACAGCCACTCCCCCTGAACCCTGTTGTAACAACATAATAAACTTGTTGGGGATGCAGCTTGGGATGTGAGGACATGGCTTAGAAAGGGCGTGTCGCCTTCTGTCCTGCCAGTGTTGGCAGGACATGAATTAAAATGTCGAACTCGGAATTCATTTTAAGGACATTTCGGCCAGGGGTGTGGAGCTATATTTGTTTAAGCACCGGATTGGCAAAACAGGAGAGTGTGTGCACCAGTCTGACTTGATCTATGAATTCATGTCTGTGACTCTCACAGTATCTGCTGCCCGCAGCTGTTTTATAGAAGGAACACCTCCTTCACTTCATGACATCTCTGCAGCACCAGGAGGCAGCAGGAGGGTTAACTCAGCCTCTGAGAAGAGGAGCGCGCACCGCCTTTCACGAACCGCCTTCACTGTGTTTACCTTCAGAATCATTA